ATGGGGGTGATGGTACCTCCAGCCTCAGGTGGTGTGGTGGGGGGTTACTGGGAATTCCTGGTCGCCCCTTTGGCCCCCTTCAGCCCCCTCCGGCCCCAGGATGGATGCCCAGGGGGTCGTTCTCCTTACCAGACGGGAGGACAGGTGGTCCCGCCGCCAGCAGGGGCTCTGGATGGAAAGAAAGGAAGTGGTTCTTTGCTGCCTCGGCAGCAGTGACTCCTCTTTGGATCACAGGTGGTAGGTGTTCTGGGTCTCAGGCCCCTTCCTCTCCATCCCCTCCTCCTGACAGACAGGTTCCAGGATGGGGACAGCGCAGTAGTCCATCCGTTTCTATGGAAACGCAGCTTCCGGGGACGGGGTTGGGAGAGGTCCTCCAGGACCGGCAGAACGATGCCCCAGCCCATCTGCGCTGCGGCAGGAGCGGAGCCTGGCGGCCTCCCAGTAGCCTTCCTAATTGCCGTCCTTCACCTGGCACAGAGCCCGCGCCGGGCCCTCCACTGCCTGTCAGCGTGCCTCGCTCCTCACAGCCCTGCAAGCCGAGACGGAGCAGCGTGGTGTAGCCAGGAGGAAATAGAGGCTCAGGGAGGTTAAGAAACTTTCCTGAGGTTCCCGCCTAATGAAGATACAGCATTGAGGTTTGAGGCCAGGTTTCCCAGTCCTTAAGTATATGCGCATCCCCCCTCCCCAAGCCATACACATACACACACTCTGTCCTCCACCTCTGACACTTTTACCTCTGACACCTGTCCCACCCCTGTGTCCTCCCTCCCTGTGGGTTCGATCTCTGGGGGCTTTGCTTGGCCTCTGCCCAGTCCTGGCCCCTCTGTCTTGCTGCCACAGGGATCTCCCCTGGCCTCAGATGCCGAGCCCTCGAGGAAGGGGGTGGGGATCTTGGCCAGCAGGCGCCTCTCAGCCCCTCTCCCAGCTCACTAATTTATCCCAAATGCATGTTGAGCTCACGTGCCCAGGACTGTCCCAGGCCCTGTTGACACCCCGCCCCTTGCCAATCCCCTTCCAGTGCCCGCTGCAGCTTTCTGGGGCAGTGGGGCGAGGTTTCACCCGAATTCTCACCCGGTCCTCTAACCCCACCATGTCCCGGCACCCACCTGCCAGGCCCCCTGGTGTGTGCACCCTCTCCCTGCCGGAGTCCTCAGCACCCCAGGAAGCCCTGGCCCCAGGCCACCTGCCCAGGAATGGCTGCAAATTCAAGCCCAGCCCCGACTGTTGGCAAAGCCCCCTTCCTGCCCTCCTCTGCCACCGGCCCATGTATGGCCTGGGGCAGGCCCCATCCCCTCTGCCTCAGCCTTCTGCCCTGCGTGTTTGGAGCTGAACGCCCCTCCCCCCCTTGGGCCCTGTGTGATCCTGAGTGTCCTGGTGGGCAGTGAGACCCGCTTCTCTTAGCCTGTTTCATTCGTGCTGACAAAGTGCCTACTGTGTGCTGACAAAGTGCCTACTGTGTGCCAAGGCACATCAGGGACACTCTGAGATGAGCTCAATACCAGCCCTGTCCTCAGCTCACTACATCCGAGGAGGCCAATCGCCCGTGACATGACTGAGAGTGTGGGCTAGAGGTGGCTACTTACACCAAAACCCATGAGTCCAGAGGAGGGAGGACGGGCAGGGCCCTGGGAGGAGGAACAAGGAAGATGGGGGGAGGGGAGTTGGAGGGCAGGAAGGGCCCTCCTGGCTGAGCAGTGGTTTCAGAAGTGGAAAGAGCCATTCAAAGGAGCGGCTTCCCAGCTTTACTGAGAATCGAGGTCACAGGAACTCAGGGCTGGGGGCTGCAAGCCACAGTCTCCCTTCTTGCTTAGCAGGTCCCCCAAGTGAGCATGTAGATGGAGAGGCAGCCCTCCTCCCCACCTTTTCTTTTGTGCTGGGGAAGCCTGGCACCGGGGGAGCCCTGGGGCCCTTCAGATGCAGCTGGCTCTGGGAAAGGAAGCGTGACAGCCCTGCCAGGCAGGCTTTTTCCATTTCCTCGGCCGAGTGAATGGAGAGAGGAAGTGCAGGAGTGCGGGCCTGTCTGCGGCAGGCAGGGTGCTCTGCTGCAGGCACTGCCCACGCGCCCTCTGTGTCCGCCAGCACCTCTGCAGCGCTGGCCTTCCCACGGCCCCATTGCTCAGGGCAGACGCTGAGGCTGCAGGACTTGCCCGAAGCCATGCACCTGTAGGAACGCAGAACCGGGATTCAAACCCAGGTCCGGCTGGCTGCCCCAAGCCAGTGTCCAGCCCGAGAGCAGGCAGAGGATCTGAAGGAGGTGCCCTCTGTCCTCATTTAAGTTAAAATGGGGCCAGGCCCTAACATGAACACATGGAATGGCCTTTAATGGGAAGGAACGTCCAAGGGCGGATGAGGGGTTGCCTTGGGGGTGGGGCATGCTTAAGGCTGATGGGTATATAGGAGGTTGCACCTGTCTCCCCAGGCAGGGCCCAGCCCTACAGGTAAAGATGGGACAGAACTCAGTGCTCGGGACGTTAACTAGAGGCAGGTGCTGGGAATCTGCTCCCTGGAGATCAAGTTCAAGATCTTGGGAGGCACCAGGGCCCTTTCTTCGTTGGTGGTGAGCTCAGTGCTGGGGCTGCACCCTGGGGTGGCTGCAGTGGGTCCTGCTGGCCCCGGTCCCTGGTGGCAGTGCCTGTGAATAAGGCTTATCCCATCTCTGAATAATGCCAGGGTCAGGTGGAGCCTCTTTCTATATACCAGCCCCTGCAGGCTGGCACTGCCACACTCACTGTCTTCGATTTATGGTTCAGCCTATGTGGCAGGGGGGAGCTTTGTATGCTGCTGGGGAGAGGACAGTGGGCAGAGGAGCTGGGGTCACTGACACCGCCTAGGCCTGGGGGCTGGGGCTTGAGAGTCAGCCTTATGTCATGGGGCTGAGGTCTGGGGGCTTTGCCCAACGGATGGAGGTGTTAGGAAATGCTAGTCTGGCCCTCTGGTTTTCCCTGGCCTCCGTCCCAGAGCCACTGCTGCCTGGGGAACCGGGGCAGGGCCGGAGGGTCCTAGTGCCCACCTCCACCGAGCACTTTCCAGGGGCCAGACACACTGCCCTCCGTACCTCACAACTATAGTCGGTGTTCTTACAACATTCCTTAAGGTAGGACCCTTTATTTCCCCCACGACAGGTGTGTGCCTGCAGTGTGTGTGTGTGTGTGGGGTGTGTGTGTGTGTGTGTGTGTGTCCGTGGCTGAGTCATAGAGAGATTAAGTGACTTGCCCACAGGCACGCGGCTAAGAAATGGCAGACAAGGTTGAAACTCAGGTTATGACTTCAGTTAACGTTAGGTCTTCTGCAGCAAGCTGGCCCTTTGTGAAGCGTCCTGTTTATCACATTGTTTCTCCTTAGCCTTGCCCTAGGGGAAAGGTAAGGGTTTCCATTTCACAGAGAAGTAACTTGCTTTGACTGATGGCTGACAGATCAGCCCCCCCCCCCCCCACACACCCCTGCCAGGCAGGGGCCCTGGGGCCACCATCCTCTACCTGCCTCACAGCACATCCTCACTAACTGCAGTGTCTTCATGTAATCGTGCAGGGGCTGCACTGTGTGCTCTGACCAGGCTTCTCTTTTTGCCGCTAAATACTCTAGGAGGTGGGAGGTATAATAGTATGGCTCCATTTCACAGATGGGGAAAACCGAGGCTCAGGGAAGTGAGGAGACTTGCCCAAGCCACACAACCAGTGAAGACTTGAGTCAGGCAGCATGCCAGCCTGGGAGAGAGGGTTAAGGGACGGGTGGTGGCGGGGAGGGAGTTGGAAGACTGACCATGCCTGGTGCTGGCAGGATGGAGAGAGAAACCCGAAGGCCCTTGCCTTGTGGGGAATGCAAATGGGCCGCCGCTGTGGATGCGGTTTGGCGCGATCTCCTGGAGCAAGATGGAGGGGGTAGCGTGCAACTCAGTATTTACCTTAGAGAGATGAACACTTAGAGAGATGCACTAAGCCTGTATATGGATGTTTATAGCAGCTTTGTTCACAGTCATTAAACTCTGGAATCAACCCAGTTGTTCCTTGGTGAGTGACGATAATGACACTGGTACATTCGTCCCGCGGAATACATACGACTGTGCCGCGGCTCTCAGGCCCGCCTGGCAGCGGGAGGCGTGCCAAGCTGATGCCAGCTTCGCTCTGGATTCACAGGCAGGTGGTGGCGAGTGGCTGAGGTGTTGTGACAGCTCCTGGTCCCCGAGGAGCCGAGTGATTAAGCCCTGGCTCCCCCCCATCCTCCACCCCCAGGGACTGGCCGCCTCCCGCCTACAGGCACAGGGCACTGAGCTGCCTCCTGGCGCCCCCAGGTGTGTATGTGGGGGGCGGGGGGCGGAGGGGAAAGCATAGCGGCCCCCAGTTGACAGATGAGGGACGGGGCTGGGGAGCTGAGGCAGGCCATCTCATGGACATGGCACTCACTGGAGACCTTCCATCCTGATCTTGCCCTGAGTTCCCAACTCTAGCCGGTGCCTCCTGCCCAGTGTGTCTACGCCTACAGCCTGCCTCATCATCCAAACGCCGCACAGTCTGGTTCTCGGATCTGATGTTTATTTGCGGGGTGCTTCACTTTGCCTTAAGATACATTGGGAGCCTGGAGGGGACTTAGAGACATCTCTGTGCTCTGCCTTTGGCGGCCCTGGAGAGTGAGGCTCGCCTGGGGCGATGCAGCACTGAGACTTCGTTCTGAGGCCCAGTCCGGGAGGCCGGCACCTCCAGCCCAGGTTCCTGCTTGAGCCTTGTCTGTGAACTCCGGTGATGTTCCTGCCTTCCCAGAGGGTGGCCCTGGGTGGGAATGAGATGTTGGAATACCGGAGGCATCCACTGCTGGTCTCTGGGGAACCTCGTTGAACTTGAACTTCTTTGTACTTGGGTCTTCTCATCTGAGAAAGGGGTGTAAACAGCGCCCATCCTGCAGGGCGGAGTGGCTGTGATTAGAGGAGTCTGGTGTCACTCCAGGGCCAGCTTCTGGGAGCCTTTGCTTCATTCATTGTGGTTTTCACTCCTGTTTCCTTTGTGTAGGTGTTTGCTGACGGAAGGCGAGAACGGGCACTCAACTCATCTCTGCATCTCCCTTGCCTAGCTCGGTGCCTGGCACACAGTAGGTGCTTCAGATCTGGCCCAAGGTGGACCTAGGGGCTGGCTGGGGACTGGGGACTGTGGGAAGCCATGGGCAGACTCGGGGGGTAGGGGAGAGGCTGGTGGTGGGTGCTGATGGCAGGGAGGGGAGAGACCTGGCCTGTCCGAAGCCCTGCCCGTGCCCCTGGCCATCCTTCCTCTGGCTCAGCCGGGTCCCGGGTCCTGTGCCAGCTCCTTGCCCTGCCTTCAGTCCGGGGGATTTGAGGCGGGAAGGACTTGCTGGGCAGCAGAGATTGTCTGGGCAGGAGTTCACTGGGGAGCCTGGACCCCGGCCTCAGCAGGCTCTGGGCTGGGGGTGGGCTGCCCTCTGAGGTCTGGAAGCCGGGCGGGACTTGTGGCCTGAGGCCCCTGTCTCCCTGCAGCCCCTCCACAGAGGCCGGGCTCCAGGACAAGATGGCAGCCAAGCAGCCCCCGCCCCTCATGAAGAAGCACAGCCAGACCGACCTCGTGAGCCGCCTGAAGACCCGCAAGATCCTCGGTGTGGGTGGCGAGGACGACGATGGGGAGGTGCACCGCTCCAAGGTGGGGTCTGCCTCTGGGGACCTGTCGGGGGCAGGTCTGGCCCTCCGTGTTGCAAGAAGACAAGCTGAGACCCACAGCGCTGCAGGAGCCCCGGGACTTAGCTCGTTTTCCTGGAAACTTAATGGAGATGTCAGGGGAATAATAACAAAACTGAAAACTGATAATTAGGTTTGCGTGCTTATTATATGCCTATTAGCATACCGCTGTCTTATAAGCATTGTTGAATCTTGCTAGTCCTGGAAGATGCAGAGGCAGGCATCAACCCATTGTAGAGATGAGGAAACTGAGGCTCAGAGAGGTTAGTGATTTGTCCACGGCTGCACCAGGAAGTGGCAGAGGAGCCAGGTTTCAAGCCCACGACTGGCAGACCCCCGAGCTTTCGTTCCCAGCCACTGTCTTTTCAGCTTCCCTTAATCCCTGGTGTCAGGGAGGCAGTGAGGAGGGTGGCCTCATTGCGGCCTTTTTTAGCCAGGGTGGCCATTGGCTAAGCATAGGTACCCAGCTGGGCTCCTGAGCATCCCAGGGAGAGGGGAAGGGGGTCTGGGGGGTTGAGTGGCCTGGGCATGCTGAGTGCTGCCCCCCCCCCCCCCGCTATTGCCTCTGACCCCCTCCCCTCTGTGTTCACAGATCAGCCAGGTCTTGGGCAATGAAATCAAGTTTGCTGTTCGGGAGCCGTTGGGACTGAGGTGAGCATCCCATGTGTGTTACAGGGCGGAGCCCTGTAAGATCCCATCTCATCAGCCTTACCCCCTCTGGTCTTGCCCTTGACTTCATCCCAGCTCATGCCCTCCCCCCAAACCAGCCATCCCTGGCACCTTGGCTGGAGAGGGGGCATTTGCTGGGGTCTGGGGTGGCGGCGAGGGGCTTGGCTGTAACCTTCCTATCGGTGCCTCCCCAGGGTCTGGCAGTTTGTTTCTGCTGTGCTCTTCTCTGGCATTGCCGTCATGGTGAGCCCCCGCCCCACCCGGAACCGAGCCTCTGCTAGGGGCTCCTCCCTGCCCTGGGCCCCTGCTGCCCTCTCCTCACCCCATGGCCAGCCTGAGGCCCCATCTGTGAAGGCTTGCTGGCTGCCTCCATGTCCTGGCTCCTGACACATCCCACCTGTGCCTGTCTGCCTGCCCCGGAGCATCCTGGATCTGTGGCCATGGTCCCGTCCTGGAATGAAGGGGTGGGGGGCAGTTAAGATCCTGGCCCCAGACTTCCCCAGGGACCCTGGCCTACTTCCAGTAACCCCTCTGCCCCCTCCCCTGAGCCTCCCAACTGCTGTCCCCAGGCCCTGGCCTTCCCTGACCAGCTCTATGACGCAGTCTTCGATGGAGTTCAGGTGACCAGCAAGACCCCCATCCGCCTCTATGGGGGTGCGCTCCTCAGTGAGTATTGCTGGGGAGGACTCTGGGGGAGGTGATGGGAAGCTGGGGTCCCAGCTGGGATGGAGGGAAACATGGAGAGGCTTCCTCTGTGTGGATCTGTGCCTAGGCTTCCCTTCTCAGATCTCCACCTCCAGCTGATGTCTATCTCTGCTGGGTGTATGCTGCCATCTTGTGGCCACTGATAGGAAATGCACCTAGTGGATTGGGGCAGAGTCTGCCATCTTCTGGACAAGCACTTACTGAGTGCTTGCCTGGTGGTGTGCCACCTGGGCACTGAGGTGCAGAGATGAAGGAGGCCAAGGCCCTGCCCTCCAGGGCCTCACAGCCTCGGGAAGGGGGCAAAATAAACACTGTGTCAGTTTGGCCTGGTAGAGGCTAAGTAGGTGGTTCTCCTGGGAATGTGGTCTGCCTACCCCCCACCTCCATTCCCACCCCCACTCCTGGGAACTCCTTAGCGAGAATCCTTCATGGGCTCAGGTGTTCTGTCTCCAGCAGTCCATTTTGAAAAAACAAAATGTGATTGTAGGACCAGGGAGCCCATCAACCCAGAATCATAACGGAACCTGACAGGGGCAGGGTACCTAGAGCTCAGGTCTCCCATTTTACAGATGGAAAGACTGAGTCCCAGTGAGGCGCTGTGACTTGCCCAGTGTCCCCCAGTGTGATGAGTTTCAATTTGAGGAAATGCGTGAGGGCAGGAGATGTGGACGTGCACGATCCGGGCTCCCTGGCCACATAGGGCCAAAGGGACAAAGAACCAGGCCCCTTGTCCCAAATGGGTGGGTGGGTCAGGCCGTCCTGCCCCCACACCCTCTTTATCCCCGCCCAGGTATCTCTCTGATCATGTGGAACGCTCTCTACACGGCCGAGAAGGTTATCATTCGCTGGACTCTGCTCACCGAAGCCTGCTACTTCGGGGTCCAGTTCTTGGGTGAGTCCTGAGGCAGGCGGGCAGTGAGGGGAAGCCGCTCTGCCCCCGCCTCCCAGCTCGTGCCACTTAGATTTCTAGGAAGTGAGGGAACCTGAGGAGGAGGCCCCCGTGCAGCTGTGCTTACCTGTGCCTGCACACCTGTGCTCACACAGCAGACACCACCTACCTGCATCTTCTTCTTTTTTTTTAAATACTTTTTTAAAAATGTATTTTATTGATTTTCCACAGAGAGGAAGGGACAGGGACAGAGAGCTAGAAACATCGACCAGCTGCCTCCTGCACACCCCCCACAGGGGATATGCCCACAACCAATGTACATGCCCCTGACCGGAATCAAACCTTTCAGTCCTCAGACCGGCACTCTATCCACTAAGCCAAACCGGTTTCGGCTACCTGCATCTTCTGAATACACACTCGGGCCCTCCACAGCCCCCCGCACCTCGGCGCTGGGTGACAGCGCGCGCACACACACACACACACACACACACACACACGGGCTTTGCCCACATGCACGCCTCAGTTCCTGCCACGTGGGGCACATCAGAACAGATGTGTCTGTGGGGTCAGACAGCTGGCAGGACCCCCGCCCAGCTCAGGGAGCAGCCTGCCGCCCTGTGGTGGGGTGAGGGCACAGCCCTCTGACCTCGGCTCCTTCTCCGGCCTTTCTCCCCCGCAGTGGTCACGGCCACGCTCGCCGAGACCGGCCTCATGTCCCTGGGGATCCTGCTGCTCCTGGCCAGCCGCCTCCTGTTCGTTGCCATCAGCGTTTACTACTATTACCAAGTCGGCCGGAAACCCAAGAAAGTCTAGCTGACCGCTGGGCGGGGGCCTTTCCGGGGCAAGGAGGCCCTGGTCCTCGGTTTCCCTTTGGTTCATGGAAGACAGAAGGACCCTGCCTGCCCCGGGCGGACAGGAGTGGCTGCCCTCCTTCCTCCCGGGCTCTCCCCGAATGCTGTGATCAGGGCTTTCCGGTTTGAGGAGGGACGGGGCCTCGGCACCCCTGTTCTCTGCCCCACACCAGGACGCCTCTTTGCTTGAGCCTCTTGGTCTCCAGATCCCCTGGATGGACAGACGGACGGACGGAAGAGCCTGCATCACGGGGTATCGGGCTGAGGCGAGGCCCGCCCCTCTGCCCGGAGGCCCCTCCTTCTTCGGAGAGAGGCTGAGGGCTGTCTCCTTGTCCTCCCCTCCACCCCCAGCCGATCCAGTGCCCAGGCAGCTGGAAAACCTAGAACGTGACCTTATGCCCCTATGCCTTGTGGGGGGGCCCCTCTCCACCCCTAAACACAGGCACCCGTCCCTCCCCCACAGCCCAGCCAGCCGCAGGCTGACGGGTGGGGGTGGCTGTCTTTGAGCTGGCATTTGCCCACCTCACAGGAAGGCCATGAGCAGCAGAGCCCTGTCTCGGCCACCATGGGCTCTCCAGGCCCTCGATCCAGGCTGCTCTGCCTCCACCCCAGGTCCTGGAGGCCCCTAGGAGCCCGCCTCGCCCCACTGGCCTGGGACCAGAGGCTGCCAGAGGCCTCACCCACAGGCCGGCCTGACGTGGACGCGCAGATCCACCTGTCAGTGATGGGGCTTGAAGATGAGAAAAGCCTTGGAACTTGGCATGTTCTCCAGGGTCTGATGCTCCCCTGGCTTAGCCCCTCCCCTCCCCTTACCCTCTCCCCTTCCCAGCACCCTCCCCGGGGTGCTGCCCTCTGGATCTCCAGCCTGGGCTACCCCCAGGGTCTGGCCGGCTAGGACTGGGTGCCCTTCAAGCTCAGCTGGGGGAAAAGGTAGAGATATTTCAGCGGGCCACCTCCTTTCCTGTCCCTCCACGCCCCCAGCCCCCCCCGCCCCCTGTCCCGCAGATGCCCTGGAGATGCTGAACACCCCTGCAGACGCCCCCATCCCCACCCCAGCCTGTGTGTCCCCCAGTACTCCCTCCTCCCTCCCAGCACTGTCCTCTCCAGCCCTGAGTTCTGGGGACGGGTGTGGAGAACAGTGACCCAGGCCCAGTATCGCATTCTGTCTTGGAATAGAGTGTTTGGGGGTGAGATAAGGGTGTCCTTTAGTGCAGCCCAGCTCTGGCTGCAGCTCCATGGACCTGTGTCTGAGCCTGCCCACGGGGGTCCCACACTGCTGTCCCTGGGCCCCGCTGTCCCTGCAGCCACGTTCTAGTGTCCCCACAGCTGAGGAGAGAGGCCTGGCGGGTCGGGCCTGAGGCTGTGCTGCTGGTGACCTGAGGAAGAGCCAGCTCTTTCCTGGCGTCCGTCGCCTACCATGGTCCCCAGGGAGATCCTAGGCAGGCTGCCCACTGCCCACGCTGCAGGAGGTGCTGGTGACTGGTGGGCAGTGCCCCAGACCTAGGCCAAGTCCTCCCTCTTGCCCATGCCTTCGAAGGCCTGGCATGTTCTCTGGCAGGGGGTGGTGGTTTGTCCAAATAACCGCTGGGCCCAGCAGGTAGACCTCTCCGGAGGCAGGCAGGAATGTGGGGCCATGGGCTCTGGAGTCGGGCTCTGTGTTGGGCATCAGAAAGGGCTGAGCTGGCCAAGCCACTTCATTCTTAGCTGGGGAGCGGGGTGGGTGCAGGGCATGGGGTGCGTTGAGGGCCCACCGGGTGGCACTGTCCAGGCTCTGCACAGGGCAGTGTTCCTGTATTACTTCCCGCTGCCTGGTTAAACATTCCGGATGCCTGGAGGGCGGGGCTCTGGCAGGCAGGCAGGCAGGCAGGAGTCCTTATTGGGGAGGAGATAGTGACAAAGGGGAGAGGGACATGGGGACTCACAGGTGCAGTGAGGAAGGCCCAGCTCCCATCCTAAGGATCTGGGAAGACCCAGAATGCCCCTTCCTGGTTCCCCCAGGTCCCCTGTGCCCCACCCCACCCCACCCCACCCCACCCCAAATCAAGACCACCTCTCTTCACGGTCACTATTTATTCTTCGTTCCTTTTTCTTTTTGTAAGAAACGGTCACAAAAACCAGTGCAAAACCATCAGTGTGGGTGTTGTTTTTTTATATTACAAAACTCTCGATATATAATATAAAAAGGGGGGGCTCACAGGAATAAACATGATAAATTAGCTCTGCTACCTACGGCGAGGAACATTGACCATTTCCAAAATAGACTTTCGACAGGGCCCACAGGGGAGGGAGAGGAGGCTTCTGCAGACGCAGGGTGCTGGGGCCTCAGCTCGTTTGGGGATATCCCGTTGGACCCCTTGGGCATGGATAGATAGGAGAGGGGTGAGGGAGGCTGAGGACGGGCCCCAGCCCCTAAGCTGTGTCCCTTCTCCCCGAGGCAGTAGTTCTGGAGCAGGGAGGGTGCTTGACTCCCATGTGAGGTCTTCCCTGACCTCCAGAGGCATTCCTACCTGCTGCCTCCCCCCTCACCCCCCAGCCATCAGCTGCTGCCAGCACCTGTTACGTATGGGCTGCACTGTAACCACACCTGGAGCCCAGGAGAGGCCCCTTGGGGCAGAGCTTGCTTTCTCCCAAGCCCCTGCCCGCCCTGCAGGCAGCCTTGCAAACAGCTACCAGCCCGAGCAGATCCGGGCTCCCTCCCAGCCTGGGGAAGTCAGCAGGGCCCGATTCGGGGTTCCTTGGCATCTTTCTGGAAAGTCCTTGGCGGGAGTCTCACCTCCACCCATGAGCCTGCCTCAGCAAACGGTCCTCCAATTTGGCTGCCCTGCCTCTCAAATCGTATGGGCACATCTCACCTTCACGGCCCAGATTCTCGCGGGCTGCCCCGGACCGGAGCCACGCAGCTGCCCAATGTGACCTCCAGTCCTGCCCAGGCAGCCTGGGGTGTTTCTTTTTGTCCCCCCTCAACCTCAGACCGGACACCTGCCTTCCCCAGGAAGCTGTATAAGCGTGCAGGTGGATCTGGAGGGGCAGGCCCTTCTCAGGCTGTGGGGCCCCCCCAATCCTGGGATGCCCAGTTGCTAGGGAGCTCGTGGCATCATGGAATGGTCAGGGCAGGCTGGTGCAGTGAAAGACCCAGGTGGAGAGGTGAGGTGGGAGGGGGAAAGGCGGAGTAGGGAGGACGGTCTAACCAAATTGCTACAGCAGGCACAGAGCTCTGGCTGTAGCTCAGCAGGGGGCAGGGGGCAGGGCAGGGGAGCATTGGGCACCTGGCCGCAGTCTCTTCCCCTCAGCAGTGGGAAAGCAGCGGAAGCTGGAAGCTGGCACAGCACCTGGGGGACAGAAAGGGCTTGTCCCAGACCCTGAAGAGACAGTAGAGAGGAGGGGAAGGCAGGCACCATGCGCCCCTTCCCATCACCCATCGATGGCCCTCTCCCACCATGCCCAGGCCGATCCTCAGACCCTCTGCATGGCTTCCACCAGCCACTCCTGCCTCCTCATCAGGGTGGAGGCCTCTTGCAATCCAGTTGCCAGCACTGGGCTAGAACCTGAGGTCTGTGTTCTGAGGGGCTGATCTGTGGGTGCTGCGTGAGCGTCCGTGAGCCCGTGGGAAGACCTCTTCCTGCCGGAGCCCGGAGGGAGCACTCAGACACGTGCAGTGGACGGAGAAGGGGCAGGAAGTGATGTCACCGCAGAAATGATGAGATGCCCTGGGGTAACGGGGCCTGGTGGTAACGGGGCGCAGGGGGAGACAGTGTGTGGCCTTAACCCTCAGGGTTACAAAATGGGCAGAACCACAGGGAAATGGAAGTCTGAAGTCAGCAGTCTCCAGAGGCAGAGTGCTGTCCTGGGAGGTAGTGAGGTCCCCGTCCCTGGAGGTGTGCAAGGAGAGGGTGGCGATGTCGTGGCGGCAGGGATCTTACAGAAGATATCCAAGCTACAGTTCTGGGTGGGAGAGAAGAGCCGGATGGTCTTGGGGGCTCCTTCCAGCGCCGGGAGCCAGGGGGTTAATGGAGAACAGGGAAGGGATGGGCTTGTGAGCAGAGACAGGCAGCGTGGAAAAGGGACTCTGGTGTGTGCACGTGTGTGTTCCTGGGGGCTTAGAAGGTGGGGCATTGGGAAGGCAATCGGCAGGGGGTGGCGGGAGGAAGAGTCCAGAGTCATCCAGCTGCCCTGTCTCTTCTGGGGAAACCATGATGCTGGGGCCCGGGAGGGACGTGAGCAGCTCTGCCCGACTGAAGCTCTGGAGACCACCCAGTTCTTGTTCAGAACGTCACGCATGCGCTGTGTGGCTGTGGGTGACAGCTCTGGGCCGCCCTGATGTTTGGTGCCACAGCTGGGGAAAGCGAGGACCCCACCGCCAGCTGGGCCATTCTCGGCTCCAGCGTCCTCAGCCACTCTTGGCCTGTGCAGGAGCAGGGACCAGGCCATCAGCCGGACGGGGGACGGCGAGGAGGTGCCTCGTTCTCAAGGACATTGCGACCCCACGTTCTGGGGCCCCTGGGCTCTGGGGACCGCTCTCCCAGATTTGCTTTTGCCTCCTTGTTGCCCAAATCCTCACTTGCTTGGCAGCAGGTTCCGAGGCTGTGAGGGGAGGGCCCGGGCCCGAGCCCAGGGCTGCGGGAGTCCGGCGGGGCCGAGGAGGGGGCCGGGCAGGTGTTCCTTTGGTCTCTGGTGCAGCCTGCGGCTGGGTGCAGAGCCCACGTCCCACCCCGGAGTCCAGGCGGGGCGCGTTGGTCCATAGGTTCATCGTTTCGTTTTGTTTAAAAAATAGCTATTTTCCCCTTGCCCCTTCTCCTGGCCACTCATGATGGCCTCACCTCCTACCCCTGGACCCAGGGAGCAGGGGCGCCGGGGAGAGGAGGGTGAGGGTACTGAGCAGTGGTGGGCAGGGTGACTCCTCCGGTGTCTGGCCACGCCCTCTACTGGATGCCCCGGAACAGGCACATGGCGAAGATCATGGCGAAAAGCTGCACGGAAAGGATGCGTTAGTTCGTTAGGCCGGGTCCCCAGCCTCCCACGGGGCTGCCCACCCTGAACGGAAGGGGCTAACCCATGGGGAGGGGTGGGGCAGGGGTCTGACCCCAATCCCACGTGTGCCTTGCTTCTGGGGAGGAGTCACAGAAGCCTTCACGTACCTCGATGGCCAGCACCCCGATGGCGAGGGCTCCGGCCAGGTAGACGTAGGTTTCGAAGGCGTTGAGGATCACTGTGTAACAGCCCTGGGGGGGAGGACCAGAGGTGAATCCACAGCCCGAGGGATGGCTTTTGGTGGCCACGTGACCAAGTCCTAAGCAGAAGTTGCCAGGAGGTTTCCGGGAAAGAAGCCAGTGCCACCCTTTCCCCTTCTCCTGCCTGGAATGTGGGTAGGTGTCTGGAGCCATGGCCGCCATTTGCCATCATGGAGTGGCGAACACAAGGAAAAGCCACAGCAGTCAGAGACCAGGCCTTGACGAACATGGCAGAGCCCCTGACGCGATGGAGAAGCCGCCGTCTCCCAGAACGCTTTCCAAGTGTGACACACGAAGGGATATGCTTAGTCCCTTTAGTTGGGTTTCATTGTTTGCAACAGAACATGTTGCTGGCAACTGACATGGGCTCTCAAGTCATTCCAAGTCAGAAATGCACCCTGGGCCTCAGGGAAGTAGGTTTAGTAGGAAAAGACAAGCAGACAGTCCCTTGGCAGAGGCTTTTAAAAGGGGAGGATGCTCAGGAGGGAAGTGAGTGTCCCGGAAAAGGAGTCCCAGGAGTCAGTCTCAGTCACCCCCAAGAGCCAGGGGAAGCGTCATCCTGAGGAACTAAAATAGCTGCTCAGGGCCCTCTGTGGAGCCTCCGACACCAAAGCCAGGCCCAGGAGGGGGACGGAGGCAGCATCAGCATTTGAGTCAGAAATGGGAAGCATGTCAGGGGGAGGCCCTCAGGACCAGGGCCTATGCAACTATGAGATGTCTGTCGCCATAGCTGCATCGGACAGGAGCGGGGGTTGTGGGGAAAGGCAGGCACAGTGCTTTCCCTTAAGGATGTTACCCAGTGACACAAATCACATCTGCTTATCTCCCTTTGGCTAGAAGTTGGTCACATGACCTAGCTGCAAGAGAGGCTGGGAAGGGCAGCCTTTACCTGGTGGTCATGGGGTCTTATAAAGCCCCCTTTTCCAAAGAGGAAGGGGCGAATGGAATGTGGGGGCAGCTAGCTGTCTCTGCCACTGTACAGGGCACCTGAGGTCCAGAGAGTGTGTCCTGGTGACATAAGGGTTAATAGCCAGGCCAGCTGACAGCACAGCCTGGAACTGCCCCCATGTCCTGCAGCCTGTCCTCACAGCAAAGACCCAACCCTGGGTGGCCCACCCACCCCAATTCAGCAGTGACCTCATCCCAGCGCCCTCGTCTCTTTCTTGCTGTCTCTCTCCCACAGTGCAGGAGGCAGGACTGTGTGTGTGTGTGGGGGGGCGGGGGGGAGGCAGAGGAACTTGCTTTTGGGGCCTTGTGTACCCTTAGACATGACCTGGGCAGGCGCAGGGGATGGCGGTGCTGAGTTGGGGAGACAAAGCTGAGGCTGTCAAGAGACTCACCAGATGGCCAGTGTCAGGCCTCAGCTCAGCTGTCCCATCCCTAGGGACTCCAAGAGGCCTGCCTTGAGCCCTTTCCCTGGTCCCTTCTAGCCCATCATCTGGTTTTACTTCCTCTTTAGTGGTGGTTGCCACGTGAAATGATCACTTTCGGTTTATTTGCTTCCTGTTTATCATCTGCACCCTCTCACTCAGCCCTGAGCCCCACAGGAACAGGGGCTTGTCTCCTGTCCCCCGGGGGTCCGTGCATCTGGAACCCTCCCATAAAGCTCTCATTAAAGAGGCATGGGTCCACCTCATTCTCTCCTCTCTCTCTCTCTCTCACATACGGCTGGGGGGCTGGTCACGGGGAAGGGATTCTTCGGAGACTGAGATGAAGTTCTGGGGTGGCATGAAGTCCAGGAGATTCTCTGATCCTGCTCCCTTGGAGCCAGGAGGAGGCCCCCCTCCCCCCCTCCCCAATGGCAAATGTGAGCTTCCCCCAAAACAAAGTCCATGGCCAAGGAGGGCCCCCCCTCCCCCCCGTGTGATTCTAGTTCTGGCTCCCAACCTACATTATAAGAAGCTCAAGGCGTGTTCCGCCCAGAACCCTGGAAAACTCCTACTCACCCTTCAACCCCAGCCAAAAGGCCACTCCCCCGGCCCGTGACATCGGCCACCTTCATCCTTTCCCCTTTGGTTGGATGTCAGGAGCCCGGATGGAGCTTCGTTCGCCTCCATTCAGTCCCATGTCCCGTCAACAGCCCATGGGATCCTGGGGCGCCTCCAGACCCTCTGGGATGACACTGCCACCCATCACCCGCCAGCTCTGGCCCCTGTGTCCCCGGCCTGGGGAGCAGGCCTGTACCTGCTTGTTCAGGAACAGGTCCCTTCCCAGGAGGCAGTCCTCCCTGCTCAGCAGGAGCCCGTCTCGAGTCTGTGGCTCCCTCCGGCAGCAGGCCTCGGGGACCTCCTCACTGTCCAACGTCAGGAGTCGGAAAATGGGTGCAAACTTGAAGTCTTCAGGCCCGTTGACCCCACAGCAACCAAACTGGGAGGAGAGCAAAGGAAGGGTCTCGTGAGCAGGAGCTGGGCCTGCGGGACCGAGCGGGACAGACAGGCCACAGTGAGGAAGCGTGATGGAACGGCCTCGAGACCCAGGTGGGGGGCCCTGGGAAAGTCCCTCAGCCTCTCTGAGCCCCTCCCTACCCCCCCCGCTGGGTCCTCACTGTAAAGTGGGGGCAGTGGTAACAATCCCTGCCTCACCAGGCGCCTAGTCAGCGCTCAATAAACCGTTGCCGCTTATTGTTTGCTATCATTGATGACAATGACAGTTGCGTGGGGATTCCAGTCAGAGATGGCAGACAGGTCTCATTCAGAGTGTGGGCTGTGATCGAGGGAGGGGTTGCTGGGCATACCGCATGGACGGTCTCGGCGGGGTTGGGAGGCAGTGCCCTGGTTGGTCATTGGCACAAGCAGAGGGGTCTCTGGCGGCCAGACATTTGCAACACTGGGCATCACGGCCCCTGGGTGTGTGTGTGGGGGTCACTCACTGTGATCATGACCGAGTTCCAGGTGGCAGAGAAGACGTCTGTGTCGTTGTTGCCCTGATAATGCTTGGTGAGCTCCTTGGTGAAGAATTCCCGGGTGAGCTGGAGACAGAGGGAGAGGGTGGGCTGAGACCTGGCAGCTGGGTGCTGCCCCACCCCTCCTGGCCTCTCCATCTGTCAGCTTCCGGGAAAGGGAGGGAAGCCAGAGTCCTGGTGCCAGGCTCCTGGCATTCTCGTAAGCTTGGGACAAGTCCCTTAAACCCCACCTCAAGGCCTGTGGCCTTCAGCCATCATGGGATCCCTCCCATGAAAAGTCCACACACATCGCTCAGTGACCCCGAGGCCAGGGCACCCTGGGAACTGCATTCTGCCCTGAAAGCTCTCCTCAGAGGAGGCTAACACAGGGCAGGGGGCTTGCCCTCACCCCCCTCCACCCTGAGCTGTTCCTCCGACAGAGCTAAGCTGATGCCTGGGTCCCAGGCCCGGAAGAAGCCACAGCACGGAGCGGGTAGCACTTTGCACATCTATTATAGTTTCCAGGCATGTTCCCCGAAGCCGCTCCTTCCCTCAGAATACTCTCCAGAGGGCTAACCTAGAGGGACACCCGCTGGTCACCATACTGGGTACAGGCTGCTGCCTCCTCCCCTCTGGGGATAGCTCCCCTGCTCACCATCCAGGCCCGCTCGGGTCTCCCGCCCCCTCCCTTCCCCTCTTCTCTTTGCTTCCTGGCCACCTGTGATGGGGGCCTGGCTCTTGTAGACTCAGGAGGGAGCTGGTGCCGGTGCTGGAGCCCCTGGAGTAAGATGGCCCATGGGGTCCTGGCCAGCGCTTCAGCGAATGGTGCTTGGCCCCTTCTGTGTGTCACATGTTCCGGGCTCAGGGGACCGCCTCCCTGACTGTCCCCACACTGTCACATGACTACGGCTGTGCCATCACCAGGCAAGGTGTGGATGGAAGATTCCAGAACCAGGTGTGTGATTGCACCAGATGTTTTTGGAAGAGCGAAACCCGGAAGGGACCCTGACGCCAACCGGCTGGAAAAGCCCTCTACGGAAGAGGCTGGCTGGGTCACAATTTGGGCTGGGAGTGCTGATGTCTCTGTGTGTCCCCCAGGACGGGACAGGCTGGCTGTGACGGCTGCTGACCCCTGGCTGGGAGCAGGGAGCCAGGGCGTGGGGCCTGGTACGTACGTTTTCCCTGAAGATGAAGGCCAGGATGGCCGCCGAGAGCTCCGCCAAGAAGATGATCAGGATGAACAAGAAGAACTGCAAGATGAAGGGGAGGCTGGTGAATCCTGAGGCTGGTGAGCAGGGTCCCCAGCTCACGCTCACCCTCACCCTCATGGACGCCCCTTTCCACCCGTTACAAAGCTGGCACAATGCACCGATTTTGCAAAAACAAAGCAGATGTTTTTCATAATAAACATACCGGCCTTTGGAGTCAATAAGGCTGCAATGCAAATATGGGAAAAGTAAACAGACAAGTCTTCCGGGCACATGGCCCCGAGCCGAGGCCCCTTGCCCGGTGTTCAGTCTGAACTGCCTGCCTGGCAGCCCTGGAAGGAGGAGGATGCTGAGCTCCAGGCTCAGGGACCCTGGCGCTCCCCAGCCCCAGCCCAGCCCCAGTCCCATTCCGGCGGCAGCGGGGAGTGGGGAGGAGATGTGGGTCCGTCAGCTGCAGTGAAGGAGTAAGACTGAGGGAAGGCGGGGGTGTCTATCAAATGTGAAATCCCAGGGGCCAGAGTCTGAAACCTAACGGAACCCGCTCTGCTCCACTCACTGCCTCTCCTGATGCTCCCGAGTCAACCAGGGGGCCTCTCGTCTCGGGGTCCCCTCTGCCGGGAAGGCACATCCTTCCTCAGTCACCAGCTCCTCGTTTGCCAGCCCAGGCGCTCCCCTGCGGCTCCCCCACCCCATCACAGGGCCCCGCAGAGATGTCCCCATCGCAGCCGCTGTGCCCCCACTGGGCCCCTATTAAGTGTGGAGGCTGTAGCTCAGCATGCTTCCCCAGGCCCGGAAAGCATGCTTCATCGGGATCGTGGCTGTCAGATGAAGGAATGAAGCCAGGAGTGACCGATTCGCCATCAGGACCTTGCTGTCCACTCCCTCTCAGGTCCTGGCCCTCCTGGGCGCTGCTTTGAGCCGAGAGCTGTCGGCAGAGAAAGGAAGTGGCTGGGCCTTCACGACCTAGAACTGGTGCTGTTGGCATACGTGGTCTGTGACACTGATCAGAGTTGTCACCCGACCTGCGACCACCAGCAGAGGACTGAGTCCCTGGTGCACAGCCTCCCGGCCGCTTCGGCCAGCCGCCTGAGACCTACTCCCCTGGGTCACGGTCCCAGAGCAGCCAGGCCACTCTGGATGTGCCCAGGCTGGAAGGACACAAAGGGTCCGGGGCTTAGTGTCCAGACATCCTCTGCCCGCCCTGCCATGCTCTGTGTGACATGGGACAAGCACTCAAACCCCTTCCAGCCTCAGCTTCCTTGTCAGGGAAATGAGGGCGTAACACCCACTTCGGAGCCCACCTGAGGAACAAGGAAGTGATGGACGTGAAGTGTCGTTAAGTCCTAAGGGAGGCTCTCACAGGAACAGGAGGGAAGCTGCTCCCCAAGCCCCAGCGCCTGAGCCCTAGTGCCCAGCTTCACAGACACTCGTGGGGCCACTGGGGTGCCCTCGGTGTCTCTCTCCTGGATCGTGTTCCTTCGGACAGAAGCAGCGTTAGGCCACTTTATCCTCATCCCAGGAAGACCCCAGTCACGTCCCCTCCCTGACTTTGCAGCTTGCACAGGCTGCCCCAGAAGATCCTGAGGTTCTTCCCGATTGCTTGGGCTTCACACCACCTTTGGGAAGCCCCTGGGATGGATTTCAAAGTGACCCACTAGGGATGTGGCCGTGAACATGTCCCCTAGACCCATCAGACGGTCTGGTCTGGTCTCTTAAAGGCCCACGCTCCAGAAGAACCCCCGGCTCAGACAGACCAGCCAGCACAGAGCTCCTCCCACACTGTGGTCTTTGGCGGCAGGAGTCTCGCCAGGTTTAAGCTGCCTCCAGCCTGGGCTCTGTACTCCCTCTCCCCCGTCTCTTTTCTGTTTAGCCCCCCACTTCCCCAGGGGAGAAAACAATCCGGGGAAGGCAATGACTGCCCCAAGGTGAGCAGCTCAAAAATCTCAGAGCAAATCCTTCGTCTTAACCCAGCTCATTTCCCAGTGCCACACTGCCTCGCCTCTATGCCGAGCCCTGGGGGTCTGCTCCCCATTGGCCAGCCTTGCTGGGGCCAGCTCTGTGGGGGACCCTGGGCTGAGCTGGGGGTTGGGCAGAGATCCCCAGCCCCGGAGGCCTGTGACAGAAGGCTTCCTGTGCTCCGGGCCACAGCACCTGCAGTCCATTCCAGCACCCCTGGCCCCGCCCCCACGCACTGGATGGCCCCCGGGTGAGCCAAGCGATGTGTTCTCCACTTCTGTGGCCTCTCTTCCCCCGGACAGTGACGGAGGCCGCTGGCGGGGCTCCTGGCACTTCCATTTTGCTGGTGATGGATGGCCATCCTGTGGTTCCCCACGGCCTCCACGGAGCCCCTCCCTGCCTGGGCCCTCCCGGTGGAGTTGCTGGCAGTCCGCAGGCTGGCCAAGTGTGGCCTCAGAAGTGGCCTCCACCTCGGTGGTGATCGATCCCCGTGGCTTCGACGGCTATAAACTATGAATGAGGCCGCGCTCCAGCCTCGCACTCGGCGAGCGCATCTCCCGGGGAGTGTGTGCGGACCAGGATGACTCTGCACAGCTCCAGCGAGACGAGGCAGCAGCGGAGCCCGTGCCCAAGGCCGGGGCGACGTGAGGGCTGCTCAGCGGGTGGCACTGAACCCAGAGGAAGCAGGGCCCGCCTGAAGGCGAGGGCTGGCATGGTGATTTCTGGAAAAGCAACGCCAGCTGCTGTCCGCCGAGCGCTTACGACCAAGGGGCTGGGGATCTCACGTGGGTCCCTTCAGCCCAGTGTGCTGATGGGGAAACTGGGACCCGAGGGGGAGCGGGCTCAGCACGGAGGCTGCACACCTGGGGTAAACGTGGGTTTCTGGTTCCAGAACCTCCCAACACCACGTCATCCAGGAGCCCACCAGAGCCTCTAGGGCAGGCGTCTTCAAACTACGGCCCGCGGGCCACATGCGGCCCGCAGAGGAGTCTGATCCGGCCCGCCAGGTTTTTTGGGCAGTGAGCGCAGCCGAGGTGTTACAGTAGGAATTAGTAGTTCATATAGTCCGGCCCTCCAGCTCTCTGAGGGACCGTGATCTGGCCCCCACTTTAAAAAGTTTGAGGACCCCTGCGGGCTTCAGGCTTTCCAATGGCCTGCGGGGTCCTTTGTGGATCAACACCGGTCCCTTTGGCTTCCCCTGTATCACGTGACCCCATGGGCCAGGAACAGAGCAACGCCGGAGACGGGGAGGAGGAATTACTAGCTTCGTTTCAGATAGAAGGAATCTGAGGTGCGGTAACCAGCTCAGGTCACCCGAACAGGAAGTGGCAGAGCCTTCTCTCTGCTCCATCCCAGGGCTGCTGACTCGGTGCCAGGCGCTGTGCTAGGTGCTGGCAAACAAACACATACGAGGCAGACACAGTCCTCATCCTCATGGAGTTGACATTGAGCCGAGTTTCATCATTCAGGAAATGAAGTTCATGAGGTGACATTAAAGGATGAACCTGGTTAGGCACTGACGGGGAGAGTGTGCCTCTGCAGAGAAAGGGGGTCTGCAGACCTGCCTGCCATTGCTCCCCGCCTGGGGCAGGGCTCCCCAAATATGGGGACCATGGGGGGCCTTGAGTGTGGGGAAGTGTGAGTCACCTGAAGGAAAGTGCCCGCTGTGCCAACATCACAACAATGCCACTCTGCCGGCTCGCCTTCTCCAGCCGAGGCCATTTTCTCCTCCTCAACGAGGTCACCACTGGTCATGTGGAGGGGATCCCCCTTGGCCCCGCCTGATTCTTCCTGGGGTGTCTCCAAGTCAGGGCTTTCCCAGGGTTCCTTTGCCTTGGGTTCATCTAACCTCAGTCCACCTGCCCACGGACACATGTGCCAGTGGTTCCCAAGTATGGGATTGACAACACTTGGCCCAGGATGGGAAGACTAACAAAGGGGAGGGGTTGGGACTGCTATTTTGCCTACTGGTGAGTATTTCCAGACTCCTCCAGCCCATCTGCTTACAGGCGCATCAGCTTTCAGTTCTCACTTCTAATAAATATTTACCAAATTTATGTACTTCATGTGCCATTCAGCTCATCTATCTCTTTCAAACACACACACATGTCTCTTTTTGCTGTTCTCTTTTCCCATTTAGCTTGACTTTGTTATATATATATTTTTAATCGGAATCAAATAAATGGGCCAAAAATATTCCTCTTCAGAGGTAAGCAACCAGGAAAAAAGGATGCTACAGCGTATCCATAACAGGCTGAAACTCACCCACTGTATGTGAAAACGCTGTAAAACTGACCAACAGGAGTGTTTGAAAAAATGTATCCATGACCATTCGGTGATGGGGTCATTGGGCCCACTGGCCTGGGCTCAGGGTCACTGGGACCCTGAGGTGCCAGCCTCAGAGGAGGGGCCGGGATGCTCAGCTAAGCCCCGCCCCCGTCCCTTTTCTCACAGGCCTTTGAGCCAGGGTTCTGGAGGAGCCTCCAGTGCTCCTTGGCCCCTTTCAAGACAAGTCTTCCCTCCCTCCCAGCAGCCTGAGGGAGGGGACTCAGGCTTCCCTAAGGGTTGGAACCCACATGGGCAGGCCCAGCTTAAAAGAGGAAGTGGCCCTTCTTATTTTTTAGGTCATGAGTCTTTTTGAAAACCTTCTAGAAGCTGTGGTGCCTCGTCCCAGAACTTGCATGCGTACACTATATACACACACATACACAGCACACATGCACAGGCACACACACACACACACACACAGGCCCTGACATAATATTTTACACATAACTTTAGGTGAGTTTTTAACCACTTGAGCTCATGCCAAGGTAAGAGCCCCTCAGCCCTGGTCTGAGAGGAGACCTGGGCCCATGGGTCCCCTGGCTTTGACCTTCCCTGTGACCTCCAGCTTGTGTGTGCCAGGCATCAGAAGGGGGCAAGGAGAAGAGGAAATGGGAAGGGGGAGAGAGGAAAGGAGGAGAGGAGAGGAGGGGAGGAGAGGGGGCCCAGCTAGGGGAAGTAAAGAGAAAGGGGGAAAGATACAGGACAGAGGCAAGGAGCAATCAAGGGAGAGGTAGGAAAGGCAGTAGAAATAGAAACCAAGAGATGGAGAGGGCAGGGGGTGAGAGAGAGAGAGAGAGAGAGAGAGAGAGAGAGAGAGAAGCAGAGAAAGAGCGAGCAAAGAAGGAGCAACAGAGATGAGACTGAGGAGAGACAAAAGGGAGGAATAAAGGCAATAGAAGAAAGGAGTGGGAAGGGGCTACTTTAAGGGTCGGTGGGCTGGACCGAGCCATGCCAGGACTTCATTCTCTCTCGGGGCAAACTTCATCCTGGGCCTTGGTCTCCTAGGAACTGAGACGGCCAGTCCAGATGGCAGGCTCAGAGGGAGCCACTGAGCTCGCTGCCTCCCCAGCCCCGAGCCTGGCTTGGCTTCAGAGATGAGCCCGTTAACAATGATGTGCCCTGGAAGGGCGGTTCAGGGTGTCCTGGGGCCAGTACCCAGATCCCTTTCAAGTCCTGGGAGTTCCCCAAGCCCAGATTTCCCCTGCACCATCTGACACTGCAGAGAGTTTTCCACCAGGGGGCGCCCACGGGCTTCTTTGTTTCTCTCCCAATGAAAAGTTTGCAGTGTGTATGAGACTGAAGGCCAAAGGGACCCAAGGCTTCAGTGTCACGCATTTCACAGCTGATTTCATGTTGTCTCTGAGACGTGGGCCTCTCAGTGTGACAGTGGGGGCCAGAGAGTGAGTCCTAGTCTGTGGAGGAGGCACTGTGCCAGGTCTCTGCCACTCAGAGTGCGGGCAGGAGCAGCCAGAGCCTTGCAAGGAAGTCCTCCTGGTGACCCGCCCGGACCTTCCTATGGCTTCACTCCTCACCACCCACTCGCCATCCATCCACACACCCTTCTCTATGCAGGGCTGCTTTCCACTGAACCCACAGCAGGGCTGGGCTCACCTCACAAGTTCTCCTAGCCCCGGGGGGCTCACAGGACCCCGCAGCAGGGACAGGACCCACCCACCAAGGCCAGAAAGGTGAGCAGAAGCCCAAAGAACCACAGCTCATGGGACTACCGCAGACATCTACCCTTTCTCTTGTTTGGCTACCACCGACAGCTGAGCTGGTCGGCTCCTTGCTCACTTAACAAACAGAGTCTGAGGCTCAGAGAGGTTCAGAAACTAGACGAGAACCACATCCTTCATTAGGGGGCAGAGCAGGGTGCACACTCCAACCAGGTCTGCCTGCTGCCCGGCCCATCCTTATGGGACCAACGCCTCCCCGTGCCCACGAGGGAGGGACAGCCACTCTTGGCCCTCATGCGTGAACTATGTGGCCCATAGGAATAGCCCAAGGACTATTTACTTAATAAAGTAAAGAGGAAGCTGATGAGGCCATATCATTTCTGTCTTAGAACTGGAAATGCAAACGGTGATTCACCCCATAGCTGTCTTAGCTCTTGTACCAAGGACGGGATTACCTATTGAAGTTCTTAAAAGCAAGCAAATAGATAACATTCTCTGTTGACAATGTCATGGAGGAGCCTGGCTGTTTGGGCCTGCAGGTTGAGGCCCCTCTCCACTTGGAGGCAGCTTGCCCACACGGCCCGCGTGGCCCAGCACAGAGTGAGATCTGGAAGCTGGGGCTGCAAGGCCACATGGGAAAGACTCCGGGAGAATGGCCTGTGTGGCCCTGACCTCAGGGTGAGTCCCTGCAGTGCAGGCTCAGGGCCCCGTGGTGAGCGGGGGGCAGGGGGAAAGGGGGTGCGGTACTCACAAACAGCAGCAGACACTTATTCTCCCGGATGGCCCCGCAGCAGCCCAGGAAGCCGAGCAGGAACAGCAGGCCCCCCATCGCCAGCAGGATGTAGACGCCCGTGATGAGCAAGGGGTTGGCGGCCACGATCTCTCGGAAGCCGGTGGGGTCCACCATGACCCAGATGCCGATGCCCAGCAGACAGGCCCCGCCCAGCTGCTCACAGGGCAGTCAGGAGGGAGGGAAGGGGAGAAACAGAAGAACAGAGCTCGTTTGCTGCAGGGGCCAGTATCCCAGCACCGCTGGTCACTGCTCCGCATCTTCCTACTTACTCTGGCTTGGTCTAAGCCCAGCCTCTGCCCAGCCCCTCCTCGGCCTGCTGAGAACCATGTGTGTGGAGTTGAATTGCTACTCTTAAATTCCCTTTCAATATCAGAGCTGCAGAATAAGGAAGTCACCTAGTCCAACCCTCAGGTTCCACACTGAGCCCCACAGGGGGCCAACGACTTGATGATGGTAACACAGTTTTGAGAGCCCTGGCCTCCCTGACTCCAGCCCCAAGGACACTCACCAAACTCCTGGAACATGCACTGTCACCTACAATGTGCCTACGCCCTGCCAGGGACAGGCAAACACAGACAGAAGCCATTCCTTCTGCCTCCTCCTCCCCCCACAGGTTGGGCTCTCCACTCTCCAATCTGCACCCGGAAAGCCTTCGTGTCCATGTCTTCGGCTGCATGGCCCATCTCTCCATGCCTTGCTCATCTCTGGAGAAGAGGCAGCATAGCTCAGAGAAAGGGCTGTGGCACTTCTTAGCTGTGTGGCCTTGGCTAAGTGGCTTAACCTCTCTGAAGGTCAGCTTCCTCGTGGTTCAGAAAAAAGATAGTAATCCCCGTCTCCCAAGGAAGAAAGGACAGGATGAATATAAATGTACTTAGCAGGTTTCAATAAATATCCATTCCATTTGTCCTGGGCACAGAGTATTGGAAACGGATCAGCTGCAGGAGAGCCAGCTTGGCATTGTTGGGTTTCTGAAGGCTGTAAAGTGTCTGAAATCCCTCTGTGGTGCGGGGGCCTGAAGCATGAGTGACAGATGGTGGTAGGAGCAAACTGCCGAGCTCTGGCTTGGCTGAGCGGGGTCTGCAAGCTGCGGGGAAGCGCTGCACAGTTTGGGGCAAGAGATGATATTTTAGGTACAGTTAGGGCTGGGGTGGGGTGGAGGGGCTGGAGGCACCCGGCAGTGGGAAGAGAGAGGAAGGCAAAACCGGCAACTCTGCCTCTGTCAGTGGTTTTGACCAGCCTCCAGTAGGACCTGCTGGTGGGGGGGGTGGGGTCTGCCCCCTGAGTGCTGAGGTCTGCTGCAAGGAGGGCTTGATCACAGACTGAGCTGCCCAGATGACTCCACCCACATCAGCTGGAGACCCTGGGGCTGGCCGGAGGTCCCCCAGCTTAGAAACTGGGTCTAAAATTCAAGTCTGTCGGGCTTCCTGCTCTTCAGAATGGTGGGGCAGGGGAGGGAACCCAAGACGGTTGCTGAGAGGTATAAAAAATGGATGGAGAGCCAGACACAGCCGGCCTTACCAGAAAGGGGCCTCTTTTTCATAGTGGCCTCCTCTCGAGGACACTGGTGGACCTTGCATCATCCAGGTCTTGGCTGCACTAAGATCAAAGGCTCAGGGGGGTCAGGAAAGCCTGCAGGGGCCCAGGATGCTGGGGGCATGGCTCTCTCCTGGGAAAGGCCAGGGACCTGAGCAGAGCCTTAGGGGCTTCCAGCAGGTGGGCAGTGCTGCGGCCAGCTGAGCACTGGGGGCTCTGTCCGTCATAGGTGGGGCTCAGCTATTGAGTGCTGACGCATGGCAGGACTTCCTCATCTTGCTTAATTTTTAAAAATACCTGTTGAGGTGGGTAATGAAGGGATGAAGATACTGAGGTTCAGAGAGGTGAAGTGTGTTTCACCTAGCTCAGTGGTCGGCAAATTCATTAGTCAACAGAGCCAAATATCAACAGTACGATTGAAATTTGAGAACCAAATTTTTTAAACTTAAACTTCTAAAGCCACTTCTTCAAAATAGACTCGCCCAGGCCGTGGTAGTTTGTGGAAGAGCCACACTCAAGGGGCCAAAGAGCAGCATGTGGCTTGCTTATCATAGCTGATACGATGCTAAGCTTGGCTTGGAATCTCGGTCTCCCAGTTCTGGAGAGGTTTCTAATTTCATCAGGCTGCCCTCCAGCTGACGTCTATAATGCTCTGGGGGTCTGGCTAGGTGGGGTTCCCTCTGCTGTCCTTTGATCACCCATTTCTTCCTTTCCCCAAACCCATCAGGGCTCAGATCCTAAGACAGTGGCCAGGACCAAGGCCCTCACTCTTTGTCAGAGGAGCCGGACCATCCCGGGCCCACCAATAATATCCCTCCTAGGATGGCGGGCTTTCTGGAGTGGGGTGGGCATGGCCAGGGCCTCCCATCCCAAGCAGGTCCGGGCAGCAGACCTGCTTCTTGCGCTGGCCCCTGTGCCCGTCCTGGGACTCGGCCCGATGTGACTATTTCCCAGCAGCAGTTAGTTCTGCTGGCTCCGCTGAGGCCTAGGGCATGTCCCAGGAGTACTTACAAATATGAAGAAATTGAAAACAAACATCAGGTACTTCATGCAGCTCAGACAGTCACCTTCCATGGCTCCACCTGCAAAACAACAGGGCTCCTCAGGCTCCCACAGGTGGCTCTGCCCCTTCTTCTTCCTCGCCGCCCAGCCACCAGGCGGCCCCTCTACCTGCCCCTCCTTCCTCCCTGTCGCCCGGCCACCAGGCGGCCCCTCTACCTGCCCCTCCAGACCCCAACCGGCTGCATTAGCTGTTGTTCCCTGTCAGGAGCGGTAAGGACTCTGATGTGGAGGATTTCTGAACGGGAAGATGAGGTGTGCAGTGGTTCTCAAACTGGGTCCCTGTAACTAACCATATCCTAAAGCTATTTAAAAAATATATATATATATAAATATTTTATTTAAATTTTTTATAGAGAGGAAGGGAGAGGGATAGAAAGTTAGAAACATTGATGAGAGAGAAACACTGATCAGTGCCTCCTGCACACTCCCTATTGAGGATGTGCCCGCAACCAAGGTACATGCCATTGACCAGAATCGAACCTGGGACCCTTGAGTCCACAGGCCGACCCTCTATCCACTGAGCCAAACCGGTCAGGGCTCCTAAAGCTCTTCTTCATCAAAGAAGTTGTTGGTCATAAAACGTCAGGGTAGCACTAATGTGTTCCAACACCCTCACACTGGAAATGAGAAAACTGAGGCTGAGAAAGGGAAAGGGGGTTTGGCCAAGTTCCCAAACCAACTCCTGGAGGATTTGGGATGGAAGCTCCGTTTCCTGAAGCCCAGGCCAGTGCCCATGGACACACTACAGACCCGATGTTTTACTTGTTGATTTTGGTAGCACACATCTCCCACTGTTAGAATGCACACTCCATAAAGGCCTGGACCTGTTACTGCCACGTTCCTAGTGCCCTGAGCATCGCCTGGCACATGGCAGGTCCCTGGTTAATATGTCTGAATGAATGAATGAATGAATGGTGAGAAGAGAGAACAGAGATAGAGGACAATGGTCAGCAAATCAAAGACATAGATCAAGACAGGTCAGCAAGAGAGAGAGGAAGATGGAGAATGACAGAGAAAGAGAGAGAGAGCAGGAAGTCATACAGGGGGAGACAGATGGACTGAAAGCATGGCCAGGGAGAGGGGCACAGCATGAGGGGGGGACAGCTGCTGGCTTATCACCTGGGCAGTTCTTCCGGCGTCAGCAGAACAGTGTCTCCGGTCAGAGGGGCTGCTGTCTGGTTCTGTTACTGGCCCAGCTTGTCCTATAAGGGAACATATTCAATTACTATAGAAGGTCATTAAGGAACAGCCATGTTCAAGGCGCTGTTTATAAAAAACCGCCCTTTGGACACACACTCAGCCAAGTGCCTCGCTCCTCCAGGCCCATTAGGGCTAATGAAAAGCCCTCAGCACCTGGGCCCCTCCGGCTGCAGAGGCCAGCAGGATGGCCGGCAGGGATGCCCTCCCTCTGCCCAGATGGCAGCTCTAGGTGCCCCTGCTGGGGCTGTGGGGGGGAACATTTTCAAAAGGCTTGCAATTTCTGGCATGGCCTCATCTATGCTGCCACCCTGCATGTGGCTGATGAGCTAGGAGGAGACAATGGGCATGGGTGGCCCATGTACTTGGATACCACCTGGCTTCCACCTAGGCATCTGCAATGATGCCTCAGTAGAGAGTGCCAGCGTGGCCCTGTCTATCAGAGCCCTTCCCCAGGTACCCTGTCTTTCCTGTGAGTGAAATCTGGTGTTGGAAAGGATTCCGTAGCTTTGCATAAGGACCTGCCAGAAGGGTCCTTCAGAGAGTCAGCCCCCAGCAGTGGAGATGGAGGTCTGGTTTCAGCAGTCAAATGTGCCCAGGTGGGAAGTCTGGTTCTACCAGACTCATGGGGGAACTCCATAGCTGGGTCCTGCTCAAATGTTAGGCTAGAGGACAAGTTTCAGGGGAGAGCTGAGGCCTGGGAGGTTGGACTGCAGTGCATCCCCACTGGGGGGACAAGGGAGGCAGGAAGAATTTCTAGGTCTCAACTGCCCATTCACATTCCTTCTTCCCATCCAGGTCAGTCCATGCTCACTCCATTGCCGCTTCTTCGGCATAGCCTGGCACACCTCGCTGGGCACAGCTGCCTGGGCCAGCTCCCTGAGACTTTTACAAAGTCACTTCCCTCCCTGAGTTCAGTCTCCTCTGAAAACTGGGGTTCTCCATTTTGAAGCCAAAGGTGGTTGTAGGAATTCATGATCTGAGACATAAAATGAGCCGATGTGATAGGAAAACACCTGGGAACCAGTAAAGCACAGCTGCCGGGGGCAGCATCGTCACAGATGGGAAATAAGTGGGTGCTCGAGCCACATCCACCAGTTACCAATGGAGGTGAGTGTGGGAGAGGACCGTGGGCATATGGCTCACTCGGGATGGGTAAAAACATCTTTCTCCTAAAGGCCCCATATTCAAATCAATGTTTACAGTGTTGTGATAACTGAACCGAATAATAACTAATAATATTGAGCAATTACCACGTACAAGTCTATGCTAAGCCTTTCTCCTTCTTCTCTTATTTAATCCTCACCGAGGAAGTGGGTGCATTTTGTCATTTACAGATGAGGAAACGGAGGCTCAGAGAATGTAATTAACTGGCCTGGCTTTATTCACACGGTTAGGAAGGCATGGCCATGATTGAGGCCCAAGTTTGCTGGACTCCAAACCAGAGCTCCCGACAAAACACCAGCCCATGGACTTGGTACCAGAGAGAGGACGTGAGAAAGAGCAAGCGCTATGCCTCCGTCCCCAAGTCTTCAACTCAGTGCTGCTTTGCCCTCAATCAGGCAACAAGGCAGAATCCCAGGGACCAGCTAGCATCCCTCTTGTGCCAGCTAGATGCCTCTGGGGGGTAACCCAAAACTGCCACTCCTTGACAGATGGGGGCCCTGAGTCCCAGAGAGGGGCAGAGACAGGGCGAGGTCATGCAGCGCCTCAAGGGTCTCCTCTGCAGGCCTCTGCCAAGGCCAGACAGCTTTATTAATCTTGCCCCTCCCACTGCCCCAGATGGCGCCTTGGTCCCATCTGCACAGAGCGGGGTCCTCTGATTAAGAAGGACAGCTCAGCTCATAAATCACTCCTTTCACTTTCACTGCCCCCAGGCCCCAGGCATGCTTTCTGGAGAGAGAGAAAAGAAGACAAGTGGACATAAGCCATGGAGAAGCCCCCATCAGAGGAAGCAAATGTTAAGTGTGGGCTGCTGGAGAGTGAGGAACGTCCTGCCAGGTGAGGGCGCTGTGGTGCAGGAGCGGCCTCACCTCCAAACCCCGGGTTCCAGCCAGCAGGGTCTCTGCCCTGACAAGCTGAGGCCTGGGCCACCCTCCTCAGCTCCTTGTTTCCTCATCTGTGCCATGGGGTTTCTCAATCTAACTCCCAGGGTCCTGGAGAGAAATGAAGGAGATGATGACGGTGAAAGCACTTTAGTGGCTACACATCCAGTCACTTCCTTCCTGGGTGTGCCAGACACCTACTAATGCCAGCCCTGGGCTTGATCCAAGGCACAGACACCAAGGACTTGCTCAAGTCTAGGGAGAGGCAATAACCGGGTACTTGGAGGGGAGTGTTTACAGCCATCAACCTAGTGCTCTGGGCATGCCCAGCAGGAGAGAGAAAGGGCTGGAGGGGATGATAGAAGCTGGGGAGGCCTGTGTGTGGGGAGGACAGGGAGGACCAACATTCGTGGGCTCAATGATAAGACGCTGTGCCAGGGGCCATTATCAACAACTGTCTTACTTGATCCTTGAAAAAACTCTGCAAAATAGATATTATCATCATTCCCTTTTATAGAAGAGGGGAGAAAGTCTCCCACGGGCCAGAAAGGTCTTAGAGCTGGAACCGACACCAGATTTTAAGAGCCACGTTTTCCTTCATCAGGATGGGAGGAGGCTGGTCAGAATAACAAAGATTCTAGCCGTCAGGCTCAGAGGGGAGGACGTGTTTGCGCTCTGGTTGTGCCTGCTGGGCCTTATCCCGGAGACAGACGGTCTGATAAACAAGCAATTGGCCCTAAATCCTGGCGTGCCTGGCAATGGCACGAACATGGGGACACGGACACAGCTGAGTGGGGGATAAAATCTAATTAGGCTCCTGGGAGTGGTGCCTTGAGGGTTAATGGCAGCAGGCAGCCTGTCTTGGATGTGGTGGGATCCTAAATGACAGTTCCCCCGGACCCACAGAATTGTGACTGTCCAGGGGGGCAAAGCAGAGCGTATCCATGGCATCTGGGAAGGATGTGTCTCTGGTCTAGGAGCTGAGGCAGTATGTGGGCGCTCAGTCTGTGCCACAAGCCCTTCCCTCTGTCCCACCCGGAACTCGCATACGCTGCTTCCATCAGAGAATCTCCAAAGAAGAACGTGCCTTGGTGAGGGGTAACTCCGATGCCGGCCTTTTACACGGGGGATGCCGAGGCCCAGAAAGGGACAGGGTCTTGCCTAACGTCACACAGCAGGGCTGGAACCGGGAGCTGCTGGCTGTAAGCCTGCTGCTTTCCCTCCACTCAGCCAGCCACCTAAGACTGACATCTTACTTTATCTGGATGTCCAGAAGCACTTTCCTATATTGCCTCACTGAATTGTCCCAGCCACCCACAATCCAGGAGATGGGCACTCGTGCTTTACAAGAGAGGAAACTGAGGCTCAGAGATGCACAATCCCTGGCCCAGGGTATCACAGGAGGTTGGAGAAACTGCTGGGACAAAGCAGGATTCCTCATCCTTCCCTGGCTGTTCCCAAAGGTGTGGCCTCCGGGACCTGGGCCTGCTGATCCTCAGAGTGACCACTGGCAATCCAGGGCATCCTGGATTGGACATATGGACCTGGGCTGGACTCAAGCCACAGGAAGTGCTCCTCCAAACCCAGGCAGTGGGTCTGTGTTCCTGCCTTTGAATGGAGACGGCCTAATGCAAAGGCCTCTGGGAACAAAGGTTCTGCGTCCTCTTGCAGAGACTTTTACTTGTCCCAGTCCCGGCGCTGAAGGCAAGGCAACCTGGGCAATCTGAACTTGGTCACGAGCAAGAACGGTGGAGGTCACTCTGTGTATCAGGAGCAGGATTTGGCCTCAGAAGAGGAGTCTAAGCTCAGGGCGATGCCCACCAGTGGAGAGTAGCTGAGGCAGCACGAGGGACTGGGTTGCAGGGCTGGGAGGGACAAAGGAGGGCGGAAGGAGGAGGGAGGACACCCTCAGCCTCCTGAGGCTGATCCTGCCCTGTCCTTCGCCCCTGCTGAGCCCTCCAGGGAAGTTTCTCTGACCGCCATCCTGGTGACCTGGGGAAAGGTGGGTGTAAGAAGGACACGAGCAGACATTCCCAGGGCCCAGGGAGGACAGGTGCAGTCGCGCACACTCAGGAAATCCTGCTGGTTGTGCGGGCACACTCGGGCTCCGGGTGATGGCATGGTCATCAAAGGGATGGGAAAGGTGGCCCGCTCAGCCGCCCAGGATGGGAGGGACAGGAGTGTGCCCTCTGGTTGTGTCATTGCTGTCAGACTTTCCCCAACAGACAGAAGCCTTCCTTGGTCGGCGCAGTGCTCCCACCTCAGAGTCCCCTCAGCATACAAAGGGTACTGGACGGAACGCTATCCATATAATAACTGCCCCTGCTTTACGTGTGCCAGGAGCCATGCTGAGCAGGGTTCCAATATCATCCACACAAAGCGAATTATCCTCGCATTACTGAGGCTCAGAGGACATAGGCGAGCTCCCCGTGCTGGCCCAGCTGGCAAGGGGCAGGACTGGGAGTCAGACCCCAGAGGGCACACTGCTGCGAAGAGCTAGGAACCCTGCTGGTGGGCGGGCTATTAGACAACATGCTCACAGCAAAAGCAAGTGATGAAGAGAGGCGACTGGCTGACACGAGTCCTGGGTTCGAGTCCACATGATGGAAACTGGGCGAAGCCTGCCCTCCCTCTGACCTTCGCGTCCTGCGGCCGCGTTCTATGGACAACTGCATCTCCATGCCTCGAATGAGGAGCATGAACCTCAGCCTCCCCTCCCATCAAGCACGCATGATCTCCCAACACACATTTCACCCTCCCTCGGGGCCTGGAGTTGCAAGAAGCCCTTTGACAAACTTGGTAATTCCATCTAAAATATGCAGGGCTGTTGCTAGAGCAACCTGGCTGCTACCCAGCCTGGATTTAAACATTTAATGGCTCCAGGGGCATTAAGGGGGGCCTGGGAACTAGGTGGGAAAGGGCACAGGTCTGAGCAGGGGTGCGGGGGCCAGAGCAACCCC